AATATGTACAATGAAAGGACTAAGAGAAAATAGTCCTTTTGTGAAATTTAAGACATTATTAAATATTTATGCTGAAGTGATGAGCTTAACAAATGTAAGAAAGGCAAAAAATGAGTATAAGTGTTTGATTATTGTGGACAGTTGAGGGATATATAGATATAACCAATTAGAAGAGTCTAGTGATCTAAACAAACAAAACCAAATTATTACATTAGTTATTCTAAGTAAAGACAGTCAATGATGTACAAAAAGAGGAGCATTTGAAGGGGTTTGAGATGATGATTATAGAGAATTATAGAAGTTTTTGTAGAGTAGATTTATTGTTCAAGATGGCTTTCCTAGCCCATTACTCTTTGACTTTCTCCACATGGCTATCCTTTGGGCATGTAGTCAGGAGGGATCAGTCCTTGGTGAAGGACATCATAATAGGAAGGGTAGAGGGACAGGGCAGTGGGGGAAGACCTCAGATGAGATGGATTGACACAGTAACTAGAGTAATGGGGGTAGAGGTGTTAGAGTCAGTGAGTTGGGTCAGCATAGGGCAGAGTTCAGAACTTTGGACATAGAATTGTTATGAGTCTTGGGTGACTCGATGACACATAACAACAATTAAAGAATTGGTTTCGTCTTGCCACCCTGTCAGGTTTATAGTGGTCAAGTTCATTTGCAGGAAAAGAAGAATCTCACTATCAGTGAAAAGAAGTAGCAGAGAATGCAGCACATATCCTACAAGAGACAAAGACAGACTAAGATTGAGACACCTCAGCATCAGTGGGGAGCCAGCCAGAGACCAAGAATTGCTTGCCTCATTAAGCCAAAGCCAGGGACTTTTGTCCAAGTTTACTAGAAGACTAGATGGGAGAAGCCATCCCACCTGAGTAGAATAGAATGTAAGTCTTTTAAGGGGAAGTCCTTAGAAGGACAAAGAGAGTTTTTAAATGTTGATCTAAAGTCCTGAGGTTGAAGATCAAAGGGCCTGTGGTATGCTTGGGAAACTGTCATGACTGAAGAATTGTATCCTATTTCCTACCTGAATTGCAACCTGTGAACTCCCTTAGTAAATCTCATTTTAAAATATGGTCTGTGAGTTTTGTGTGACCATTGCAATAGATTAGTGATAGTATCTAAACAGTGAGAGGCCTGAAAAAAATCCTACATTAAAAAAAAAATCTTTATTATTGTATCATTATTTTAGGAACTCTTACAAAACAAAACAATTTGATTTTCCATTCAACCATTCGTATACATTTCGTTTTATGACATTAATTACAATGTATGCAATATAATGGAATTCTTCTCACTTATTCCCTATTCTGATTTCAATGATTTTTTTTTTTTTATCCTACTGATTCCTGTCCTTTAACCTTTATCTCTGGACAAACTGTACTCATCTTAAGTAGTTGATTAAAGAGTGAGTGGCTGCCTTGTATTATTTTTTATCTTGTCTAGTGTTTGGCTGAAAATTGAAACACAGGTAAGTTTTTTCCTAAGTTTGAAGGGTGACTAAGAGCTATTATCTTGGGGATTCCATCAATCTCTATTGGACCAATATGATTAACTCTTTTTATATTTTTTAGTTGTTTTCTACATTTTCATTCACTCCACCCACATCTTCTGCCGTGCCCCTTTTAACGTGATCAGCACTAATAACTGAGTACTATGTAGTTTTTCATGTTCTCTGGTCTTTGTTAAT